CCCCCCCAACCTTTTTTTTTTTTTTTTTTTTTGTAATTTGCCCCCATGAAACTTGTGCTCTGGCTCCGCCCTTGAGAATAAAATATAACTCAGCAAAATGAAAGAACAATATAGAGGTTACAGGCATGCCCCAAAAGCAGCTTAGTTAAGACACAACCGATAGACCAAATATCAATTGCTGTCTTATATTCTGTTGTACCAAAGATGAGTTCTAGGGGTCGATCGCATGTAGGATATATTAGCTTCACTCGGCACCTACATACTAAAAAATTTCAAGTGATATACAGTGAATCAAAAGAAAAACTGAAGTAAGAGTGTTGTGAGCTACATGAAGAGATGTTGTTGGGCAAATTGTTGTTAAACGGCCTCCCCGACTATGATGTAAACTCAGCTTAATTATTAGTCGGCTTCGTCCAATTGACTGAATGACAATTGGATACCAAGATTGAAACAACCCGACCCAAAGGTTAATTGGGTTATTAGAAGCAACCTAATTTCATAGTGTTGCTCATGGCCGAATCCGCTTCCTTGGATGGCCATAATTGAGAGAGATTGCTTGTGAGCCCATTTACTTACCTATTGGACCTCTACTTTGACATATTTATTATCCTATTTACACTTACCATATTTGGGCCATTATTGCTTGATTAATGGGTCTCTTTTCTCTCTTGGTGAGAGATGTCCTCTGCCTTCTCTATTTGGCCTATTTCTGCGTGATTTCTTCTACTCTCTTTCTACCTCTTTTGATTTCTACCTTTGTGGTGATATTATATGAGATATTGTGCACCTTTGTGATCTCCTAAGTGAACTATCTCATTGACAACCGGAGGTAGAATCTTGGTTATTGTCTTGGGTCATTGTTGTCCGATTGTGGTATTAGAATTTGGAAGAAACTAAGCCTAGGCAAGCTTTGGTTCTCATATACGTTCAACTGATGTTAATAAACAAAATAGCATTTCAAAACTACAAAACCCTAATTAGAAAAACTATGGGCATTTATGACAATGATGGTCAATAATTAAGCCAAATGACTACCATCAAAAATAGATCAAATATTAAGGCTATACCCATGTTTTGTAATCCCATGAAAATAGCAAAACAGCTTAGTTGACATAAATAGACTATAGTGTCACTTTTTGTGTAGTCAACCTAATAGAAATGGAAGAAAGGACTCAAGTGTAACAAATTTTATGTTTTGCAATCAATTTTGAAATGGAACACAAAATATTCCTTTCGGCGAGAGAAGTCCTCAAAGTCAGGTTTCCTTCCTTGAGACTTGACACTGTAGAAAGTCTTCCTATTAAGCTAAGGCCGGATTCTCTTTTTCTTCTGACTATCTTCGTTGTTGATTCCTCCATCCCGGGAGGGGAAGTTTATCTTTCATCATCAGCAAGAGATTGAAATCTCCTAGAATATTGACATCAATTGCTGGAAAGACAATCACAAGTGAAGTAGAGAAAAAAGATTTGCACTCATTCCATGTTAAGTGACCATTAGTGCACTTAACTCGTTACTTGTTTGTCTTTGAATCTTAATTTCACAATTGATTATTGATTTTCTAGCTCTTTGAGTCTGAATGAGGACGAGTGTCTCGACCTAGTAGTAGTTCAAAGAGGCTAGTATTGTCGAGCAGCAGGCCTAGCTCTTCTGTGGAACCAAGTGAAAACGATAATAGACGACTAGGCTCTAACAGTGGACGTCTATCCACCGCCCAAAGATAACAACCTGGAATTGAGTCCAAAACATCTTCCGCTCACATTTTAGCTTCAAGAAGTGCCCGTGATGATACTCTCTGAAGCTTTGAGTTGCTAGCAATTGGAACAGGTAAAAGCAAGTGATGTAATGCCAAAATTTCAAGTTTTCAGTGATGTATTGCCAAAATTTCAAGTTCTCGACTCATCGAGCTTGACGAGTGGCTCGCGAGCCGAAGTTGATGAGCCCACAAGCTTGTTATATGAATCTCTAATATTTAGTGTTACAATTTTGACATTAAAACATGCGTTGGAATTTGAATGATTTATATGCACTTATTTTCTCCACAATTATTGTGCACATAATTTGTGTGAGCTTGGTAACTTGTTCTTGCATTCAAGAGAAGTGGAATAAGTTCAACAGGGTATAAATCATCGTAGGGTTCTATAGGGGATAGGATATACCGCTATGCCCTGCGTGAGTCTTTAAGTGTTCACCAAATCACATGCATTTTTATATATGCACTTGTCATATAAATATAGGCCGGTGGTGTATAAGAATAGGTTCAATACATCTCGAGAGAGAGTGTTGCATAGATTTAGGAACATTGATTCCTCAAAATCCAACCGTGTTGTCAAATTGTAAAAATAAAGTTAAAATGATTATTTCATAGGGATTCATGATCTTAGTACATTCATCATTCATTAAATTCAGCAAATTTGCATTTGAAGATAAATTACATTTAGTTCATTTAATTCACATACATTTGCATTCATAATCTAGAGTAGGTTTAACCACATTACAAAAATCATTTTTGACATTTTGGTTTCGATTAAGGTCGGGGTAAGTAAAATTGAACTAATCAATCTCTGTGCGACGATATTCGGACTCAATTGATCCACTTTATTACTCGTTAATGAACCGTACAATTGCGGTAATTTAAATCGAAAGAATAATTTCGTGAACAAGTTTTTGGCGCCGTTGTCGGGGATTGAGCTTTAGTTTGATTTTATTTGTCTTGGCACTAATTCGAACTTTTTCTTGTAATTTTTGTATTGTTATTTTCGTTCTATTTTAGTTTTTTTCCCTTCTTTTTTAGGGTAGATAAAGATCAAAAAGACCAAAAATAGCAAGTGCAAATGGCTAATGAGTAAAACAATCCGATAATTCGAGCTAACGAAAAGAGAGTTGTAGATGAGGGAAATATGCTTGTTGGGAATTTCATGGCCCCACAAATCATCCAGAGTCAGTCCAGCATTGTGTACCAACCGTTTGGACAACCTAATTTGCAACTGAAGACCAACGTTATACATTTATTTCAAAATGGACATAAGTTTTATGGCAGAGCTGAAGAAAATCCATATACAAACGTCTCTCGCTTCCTAGATATGTGTCAACACTTCAGTTATCAAGGAATTTTAGAGGATGCTATCAGGCTGAGGTTATTTCCACATACTCTGCGGGATAAAGCACTCAAATGGTTGGATTTACTTTCCATTGCAAGCATAACTACTTGGAATGAGTTAGCTCACAAATTCTACATGAAGTTCTTCTCACCGATCAAAGTAGAGAAATTGAGGCGTGACATATCAATATTCAGTCAGAGTAAATTTGAATCATTTGATGAAGCCTGGACTAAGTTCAAGAACATGCTTCGGAAGTGTCCTTACCATAGGATCAATAAGGGACTCCAGTTCCAATATTTCTATACAAGATTCTTCCATATTTCAAAGGTATAGTGGATTTTTCATCTAATGGCTCCATATCCATGTGGGTGTTGGAAAGAGCTATTCAAAAGAATGTGCTAGATTTGTATGAAATGGACGCCTGTTCGGCCTTATCTGCTGAAATTGATTCTTTACTTCATAAGATGGAGAGCATTTCACATTCAGCAAATGCAATACATGTATAGAAGCCAAGTTGTGAAGAATGTGGAGTGGATCACAGTACAGCAGAATGCTCAATTTTGACATCGGGAATGAAATAGGTACAGTACGTGCAATGGGGTCAGTGTCAGCAAAACTATTCAAATTCAGACACTTACAATCCCAGTTGGAGAGAGAATCCAAATCTATCATAGGGTGGTAATCAAAATCAATTTCAAAATCAGAATAAACCCTAGGATCATTTTGAGTAGGAGAAGACATTTCAGTTGGAAAATTTTTTTGCGAAATTCATGGAAAAGACCGAGAAATACATGGAAGCAACTAAAGCCACTCTTCAAAACCAAAATGCCGCCATAAAAAATTTGGAAATGCAGATGGGACATATGGCACTTTCTATTATGAGAAGGACATCGGATACTTTGTCAAGCAATATTGAGTTGAATCCCAGGGAACATGTTAAAGCAATCACTACAAGAAGTGAGGTTCAATTACCAGAAATCAATGTGGAAAAATCAAATGCAGACGGAGAAACAGTACCTCCTTCTGATGAGGAGAATGAGGAGCAGGCGATGAAATATCCTACCGAGCCAGACAGCTATTTCTAGATTGAGGAGGTTGACATAGGAATTCCCTACAATTTTGAGTTGAAGAAACTATAAGACGTTCATAAGCAATGTTTTGAAAATCGGACCGAACATCCACCCAGAAAAGAGAAAGGGTCAAAGGGTCGAACCGGGGTTGACCCGAGGTCGAACCGGATGTCAAAATTGGTTTTAAAAATGAAGTGAGCAATTAAATAATTAAAATTGCAGAAGGTTGATCCCAAAGTTGTAAAATAATGTATAGAAATTTCTCTTTTGATACCTACAAATAGCAATTGGATGATCCCACATCGACATCGGAAGAAGGTAATGTTGTACATGAATTCCTTTTTTAAAATCAGCAAATGGCAATTGGATGATCCCACATTGAAAGTTAGACAATCTTGTACAAGAATATTCTATTATAAAAATTGCAACAGGAAACAATGGAATCAGAGGGCCTGCAAATGTTGTCAGCCCACTGGGGAATTTTAAAATTTTTCATTTGGGAAAAAGTCCAAAGTGAACTGAAAATCGGTCAGCCGACTAATGAGTTCTAAAATTTTTTATTTGGGAAAAACCAAAGTGAACTGAAAAACCGGTCAAAAATTAGGACCGATTTTTTGGGTTCCGGGTGAAAATGGCTGATTATACGGGTTTATGCCAGTTTATTTCTTTTTCGATTAATACATCAAGACCGGACCGGAATTTAGACCAGTTCTTGGTTTTCTCGATTGAACCGGCCGGTCCGTTCCAATTTTCAAAACATTGTTCATGAGGTCGGTATGGTACACCCTCAATCCACTCATATTGACTCTAAGGAGGGTGAGGTATACATTGTTAACTTCCAAACGGACAATGATGAGGAGTCATACTACTTGGAGAAGGACATGGTTGAATTTTGGAGGAAAGCTGCAATATGGAAGAAAGATGAATTGAGCAAGCTAAGCAGGACCTCCAAAAATCGTATTCAAAGTTCCATGAAACGCTTGTGCAATAGTCAAGCTATCGACTATAAACTAGCACTGGGTAGGAGGCAACCCACTGTATCCTTTTAAGTTATTTTATTTTTTGCATTAGTTTAGGAAGCTTTCAATTTTATATTTGCATTGTTTATAGTTTAGGTCATCGTTCGTCCATGCATATCAATAAATAGCCTAAGCACAATCCACACAAATCCCTATGCATTGAGAATGAGTTATAAGGTTGAAGTCCTGTTTTAGTCAGTCATGGGTCAAATTGAACAAAGTGCATGTTTAGAGCTAAGTTTCGTTGGTGATTTACATTTTTTTTATATGAACCCTATTTTGGGATATTCATGCATTTTATACACCAACTTCATGTACATGCATTTTGAAGCAAGTTTGGAGAATTTGTACAATACATGCTTTGTTTTTCTCATTCTATGCTTCATTTTTGAATATGAAACCTAATGAGTGTCACTTTGCACTTTTGCAGGATGCCGCCAAAAGAATGTC